ATATATATATATATGTGTGTGTGTGCGCGCGCTTATATATTACATGTCATCCAGTGGGGCTATACAAGCAACATCGGGTGTTCCAGATGTAATATTTTCTCCATCAAATCGAACTTATGAACCAACATGGAAAGACCCGTTATCTGCATGAAATTATTCACAAAGGTCCCAATCTAGGATTGGGCAATGGGAAAAAATATTATATACATCATAAAGTGGAGTGATACAATGTTGAGGATATGGAGCCCTGTGCACTTCCTCGTTTGGGAAATCATTAGTGTTAATTATGTGATTAATTAACTTCATAAATAATGTTTCCCGCTTCTTCCCTGAGCTTCGTGCCTCCCGTTGTTCTCTCTCCGCGGAACCGCAGAATTGCGGGAAAGATGCTCTCCGCGTGGACCTTTTAATGCATTTCCTTAAATGCATTTTTCTTGATCATTACAAAAGCTAAACAACTCCCTTAAGCACATATCTCAGAAAAAAAACCTCTCGCTTGCGGCTGAAGAAAAAAAGAAGCAGGTTCCTTCACCTTTTTGGCAGAAAAAGTTTTCTTTTTTTCTTTTGCTTTGCTTCTTGGCAGAAAAAAGTTTCCTTTTTTTTCTTTGTTTTTGTTATTTCTCACGTGACTTAGAGAGAGGTGAGAGAGAGAGGAGAGGGAGAGATAATAGAAGATAGAGAGAAGAATTTTATTGTAATCGTCAAATCGACGACGACGTAATTTCCTCAAAGTAATAAATCTTCTGCAGCTCCGTGGACGTAGGCAAATTTGCCGAACCACGTAAATATTGAGTCGTTTTTTTTCTGGTGTAATTTGCTCGATCTGGTATTTCGTTTTATTGCCGTCATTTTTTTTTTCACAACAATTGGTATCAGAGACAGGTTCGGATCTGAGGAAGAAAGGTGGCTGGAGACGAAGTGAAGGTTTCAGGGATCGAGAAGTTCGACGGCATAGATTTTGGATACTGGAGGATGCAGATAAAGGATTACCTCTATGGAAGAAACTTCATCTTCCACTATTGGGAAAACGACCGGAGAAGATGGAAGAGGCTGATTGGAATCTGTTGGATCGACAGGTTCTGGGGGTTATTCGATTAACCCTATCGAGGTCCGTTGCTCATAATGTCATAAAGGAGAGGACGACGGCAGATCTTGTGGCGTTCCTATCAAGTATGTATGAAAAGCCATCGGCGAATAACAAGGTGCACTTGATGAAAAAGTTATTCAACCTGAAGATGGCGGAAGGTGTGTTGGTTGTTCAACATTTGAATGATTTCAACACTATTACAAATCAATTATCGTGCATTGATATTATTAGCTTCACTGCCAAATACCTGGGAAGCCATGAGGATGACA